ATACAGAGACATTACTTAGTTTCCTCCTTTTCTTCTTTTCTTCATTAGTTTTTTTTTTAATTTTTATCAAAAATTACTTCAAGCACACAGTATAAAAGTATATAGTCAGTTCTACAGTGGACAGTTACGTAAATAGCTCATAATTCTACAGCCATAGTTATTCCCTACATCATCTTAAATTCTGGAATTGGTAGGCAATGTGAGTTTTGCAGTTAATAAGTCTAATATGTCCTGAGTAGTATGAGTGGAAATCAGTGACCACCTAGACACATTCTAGTAAGACTGAGAGAAACCAAAGGCAAGGTGATCTAACAAACAGGCAAAGAAAGAAAGGCCTCTATTAATTAGCCTGATAAAAGACATCTTAGCAATACAGACTAAAAGGGGATCTTTGAAGAACTAAAGGGAAATAACTATTGATCTGGAATTCTGTCCTCAAACTGTCATTCCTTACTAAAGCTTCCTGTTATGCAGTTATTAACACAAAAAATAGCACTAGAGTATGTGTTTAGAGTATGTATTTACCGGAAATATATGATAGTTAGGAACTTTCACTCAGCTAAGAACACAATTTAATATACACACAAATGGATAATATGGAGACATTGGAAACGGCACAGTACACTACTTAGAACTCTATATGACCCATAGATCAAGCAGATAACAAATTAGTAAGCTTAAAGAAGATCTGAACTGTGCAATTATTGGACTTATTTTTAGAAGATATTCAATCTCCAGTTAGAACCTGCACATTCCATTCACATAAGTATGAAACATACATAAACATGATCACATACTAGGAATCAACTGTAAGTAAATACACAGAATTATTCTCTTTTATGCCCCATATCCTGACCAAAATGGGATAGAAATAGAAATCTACAGCAAAAAAGTAATGTAGGGGAGGAAAACACCCCCCGTCTTCCGTTGTAGCTTCTTGGGCTGTTCTAGTAATGACACTGATGTAAGGCTGATGAACAGGAGGAAAACCAAATTTGATTTACATGTACAGAAACCGCATTGGAAACATGAGACTCTAAGAACTGGCTAGACCAGGCAGTTTTTACAGCTTTTATACAAGGAGATAATCCGCGAAGAATTGGCAAGACAAAGGAGTTGGGACTTGGGGTTAGGTATTAGTGAGGAATTCGCAGGTTTGGCTGCACAGCGTAGTCAGTCCTCGGTTCCCTCTCCCTGCTGGGAAGGATGTCTCTCTTCCTGGTAAGGAGGGTACGTCTCACAGCGGACGTTTATCTCCTGCTTTTAGGGTGATGGGGGAGTGAGAGTGTCCCTCTTGCATAACCTGTTTCTTAAGCAACTTTAATTCAAAATAATCAATATTCTGTACTGTAAGGTGACTAACATAACACAATTAAAAAAAACACACAATACTCAAGTGTGGTGTATTGGGGTTGGCAGATTCTGCTCCTCTAAAAAAATGCATGATTAATAATTTCATACTTAATTTATAGCACTGGATGCACATATTAGAAAAATACGGGAACCTGAAAATCAACAAGTTTCTAGCTAATGGTGCATATAAACTAGTAGCAGAGTAAATTCACAGAAGTAGAAATGGAAAAACAAGTAATGCGCAAGAAATCAAGGAGAGAAGCAATAGAGGAAATTAACGAACCCACAAACTGGCTTTTGAAAAGGTATCATTGAGTAGACAAATAAAATAGAGGAGGCCCAAATAATTAACATTAGGAATGGAAATAAAAATATACCCACATGGTAGAGATGAGTTTTTAGAAAATATAAGAAAATAATAGATTATAATATATCAATATATTAGAAAAATTTCTGGTCAAAAGAAAAATAAGGCAATAGTTTGATTCATTTAATGAGTCTAAAAGAACCTTTGTGTCCAATGGCAAGAAAGCATAAGAAATAGAAATTAAGAGCTAATTCTGTAATTTATTCTATTATTTAAAAAATAACTATATGGTCTTATAAATAGATGTAGAAAAAATAACTTAGCAGAATTTAATACTTTTTCTTTTTTAAAGATTTTATTTATTTGCGATAGAGAGAACATGAGTGGGGTGGGGGGTAGGGAGAGAAGCAGGCTGTCCACCGAGCAGGGAGCCCAATGCGGGGCTTGATCCCAGGATCCTGGGATCATGACCTGAGCCGAAGGCAGAGACTTAACCCACTGAGTGCCCCCAGTGTCCCTAGAATCTAATACTTCTTCATGATCAACTACAGAGCAAACTAAAACAGAACCCTCCTACCATGGTAAGCAGTAGCGATTTTTCTTAAAATGATAAACGTTTGTGACGAAATCTTTCAACAAATAATATAATATAATATAATAATAAGAATGACAAAAGAGATAGCACATGGCAAATGTGGGAAACCTGTATGTTCAGGTAATTCAAAGCCTGGGTCTCTCCTTTCCTTCACCCACGTCCTCTGACAACCTCACCTCGTCTTCTGCTCTAACAACCAGTCTGTGCTGAGGACACACACATTTATTATTTCCATCCAGACGCTTTTCAAAACTCACGGTTCGTATGAACAACTCTCTCCTGACCGTCACTACTCAGTACCCATTTCGCATCTTGAACCCGACATGTGCAAAGCCCGTCCTCTGGTCTTCCCCATCCCACAAAACCTTCCCCCCTTACTTTTTCTCAGCTCACTTGATGGCAACGCTGCCTTTGTACTTTTTAAGAAGGAAACCTACAGTGGCCTTGCTCTCTCTGTTTCCCGTATGTGCCTCAGCCACTCCAGGTCCTCCCTTCAGAATGTGCCCGGAACGGGACCTCCACTCAGTATTTCCACTGTCGACTCGCGTCACCCCATGGGATGCTTCAGTGCTTCCCTCCCACCCCGGACAGCACAGCCGGTGCTCCTGACTCTGCTTTGCCTTCTTCTCTCCCCACATGCATTTGCCACCCACAAACACACAGTCTGCCTCCCTCCTGTGCGGAGTCCTGGTTTCGGGTTATCGCCGGCTCCTCCCATCACCATGCCAGTGTCCTGATGGCAGGTTCTCTGTTTCATTCTCTGATGTATCCGAAATTTCTGGAAGAGTGCTGGGTACACAGCTGGTGATCAATACATATTTGTTGAAGTGCTAAACCAGGCTGAAAGAGGGATGCCTTAGAGACACAAAAATGGGTTCTACCTCATGAGAAATCAGGGAAATGGAATCTGCACAGGCCACCATTCCTCAACCATCAGACGCTTATGTCCCCGGCCCCTAGAGTGAGATAATGTCAGATATTGATAAAGATGGACCAGAACAAGGCTATGTGTGCATTACTGTGAGACTAACTCCCTGCAGTCCCTGGGCGGAACAGCTTGTAGATTGTTTCTGAGCCTGGAAAGACCCTGGTGAGTCCCCAGGGCTGCTTCTGGCAGCAACATTGCTGAGACTGAGATGTGCAAATGGGACTACTGTTGTGGTGAGCTCAGTGTAGAGTGTAGACGCGTAGGAGCACGGTGGAGGTGTAGACGTGTAGGATCACTGTGTTGTACGCCCAAAGCTCATGTGATGCTGTGTGCCCACTACACCTCCACAAAAATAAACACGCGCACACACACACACACACACACACACACACGCACACACACACACACAGAATAAATAAAATGCAGAAGCGAACTCCTTTTCAGTAGATGACTAGAAAAATAAAGCACTTTCGCATGCTTGTGAAGTGGACTAAGAAAACCTACATTTTCTGGGATAGAGAGAGAGGGGGCTTTCATGTAATGCTGACGGCAAAAAGCCGCTTGTAGGGGCACATGCAACGCCAAAATGACATGTCTTATGCAATCAGTGTTGAATGTACAAATGAGGACCCTCTATTGCCTGGGGATATATATGCACACCACGGCAGTGAAAATCACCGAAACGTAAACGGAACATGGCCTGTGAACGTTTCAGAATGTGGACTGAGAGGAAGAACAGATGAATTAGTGGAAGGAAGGGCAGTGGGGCTGTGTCTATAGGGTTTTGTTTTTAAAGATCTGAAGCATGTCGGGCCACAGGTGAGCGCAGGGGGCAGTGGGCTCAGAGTGTCTGCTACCCTCCGTACTTTCCTCTGTATTAAAAATATTTCACATGAAACACCTTGAAAGTGTGCCACGTGGCATGTACTTTCTACAAGTTGAGACAGACACTTTCTTTGAATATATAATAGGCAGAGAACAAATTATTGGGGTCCGTGTCCCACTTTCCTTCTGTCATTTGTTGTGATGTTTGTCATCTCCTGGACGGTTTTGTGGAAAAAGCAGTGAGGGAGAAACTGGAAAGTGAGGCAGCTGGGAAATGCTGGTGGCTGAGCTCCCCGCAGCTCTGCTGCCGTCACCCCTGACCTTGGCCGCCGCTACGAGCGAGCTTTCCAGACCCAGAGATGTTCCCCTCGCTTTGGGAAGGACCTCAACATCTGGTCAAAGTGTATTAAAATGTTATCAAGAAAGGAGTTCCTATGACACATTTCTGTCTTTGTGTTGGTATTGCAAACACTGTATCTTTCTGAAAATGCACTTGGTAGAAAGAATCCCGGTGGCAGGTGGGATGGTGAGGACGCAAGGACCATGTCCTTGTGCGGGAACATCGTCGCCGGTGTGTGTCCCTGGCACGCACGCTGCCACCCAGTGGGGCATCTCAGGAACCACACGGACGCCTGTAAAAATCCTTGATTTGCTTAAAGCAAAGCTAAGTCAAACTCCCCTCTGATGTGGGAGGCTGAGAAAGCTTTGAATCATACAAAGAACGGGCAGTCTCGGAAGGAATTGTTTTGGTCCTTGGATACGTAGCTCAGCGCAGAGCCCGGCAGGCTCCGTGTCCTGCGCCTGCCCAGCTAACTCTCACTTAACCCCCGGGGACGCGTGTGTCCGAGGCTTCTCAGGGTCAGGCGGCCCGAGACACCTGTTGGGGGGAAGGGACCGGCCCAGTGAGCCCCTGCGCGTCCCGTCTGTGCCAGGGGCTCGGGTGGTGCGGGGAGCCGTCCCAGCAGTAAGCACAGGCTCTGCTCTCTCCACAGCCTGCACTTCATCGTGTTCGACACGGAGACGGCCCACGACACCCTGAAGGTGTGGGACGGCCCGCGGGACAGCGACATCCTGCTCAAGGAGTGGAGCGGCTCCCTGCTCCCCGAGGACATCCACAGCACGTTCAGTGCCCTCACCCTGCAGTTCGACAGCGACTTCTTCATCAGCAAGTCGGGCTTCTCCATCCAGTTCTCAAGTAGGTGCCGACCACCTCTCGTCTGTGTGCGGGCGCCCGTGTGCCGGGTCGCCAGGCCTCACTGCCCATCCTCGGGCCTCCCCCGTCGTGCAGCTCACTTCTGTTGAGCATCGTGATGTGACCTTCGGAACGGGCAGGGGGAGAGAAAGGTTCATTTTCAGACATGCTGTCCCCGACCAGATAGGGCGAGCAGGGCATCTCCGTAGTTACAGGAAAACAGAGACGTGCCATTTTAAAGCCTTCAGATGACCAGCGAATGGGGGCCCAGACAGAGGCTGGTCTCTACCCAAATGGGAACTTGGTCTCGGGTGGCTCCATAAACCTGCACCAACGCCAGGCTCCCTGGTCACCCCACTCTGTGCTGTGACGTCCCCACGCAGTGCAGCTGCTCATCAGAT